CGTTGGCCAGGCTCATCCTGATCGCCGCCTGCGTCTTCTCGCTCTGCAGGTGCACCGGCCACCGGTTCACCGAGAAAAAGCGCTTCTTCTTCTTCTCCTCCTTCGGGCCCGCCGCCTCGGGCCGCGCCCACGCCCAGACGTGGTCCCGGTGGAGCGTCATAACGTCCTTGCCGTCGGCCTGGCTGAAACGCGGCCGGCTGGGCCAGAGTGTGCTGTTGCCCGCCGACAGCTCGTCGATCATGCCCCGCCTGACGATCTCGACCGCCCGCTCCTCCGCCATCCCCTTCTTCCACCGTCCCGGGTACCCTTGCCTGACGACGCTCGCATACGACACCGGCCGCGCGCTCCTCTCTTTCGGGCGCTCGAACTCGCTCTGCCACTCTCCCGCCATGGCCTGCAGCTGGCCGGCGCCGCAGTCCCAGCTGGCCGGCCTGCTCAGGCGCCGGTCCAGGTCCGCGAGCCGCTGCGCCAGCGCGCTGAGCTCGACGCCCGCGCGGTAAGCCGCCGACCAGAGCATCCGCTTCGTGGCGCGGCGCGTCGCGTCGACCTTGTCAACGTTGACGAAGGCCGTCTCCCAGTCCCACGTGTGCTCGGGCGTCGGCACGTTGGCCGCGGTCCAGGGGTTGGTTATCGGGTCCCAGTCGTCGTCGTCGACGGGCCAGTTCATGCGGTGCTCCGGGTGCCATGTGCACTCGGGCCGGCTAATGTTCACTTCCCCGGTCTCGGTGCGCTCATACCTGGGAAGACGTGAGCCAGTCAGCATCTTGCACGAAGCTTCAATAAGGGGGGGGGGGGGGGGGGGTTACCCGAGTCTTCCGTGGTCGGCGAGCACCCGGCTGTACATGTTCACCATGTCCTCGCTGAAGACATAGTCGCCATGGCGGAGGCTGGCGTTGAGAGCCAGCGTCACCTGCTGCAGGCTAACGCCGCGCTTCTGGACGGCGAAGAGGCACTCCTGGCTCGGTTCGTCCAGCAGGGCCTGCACGCGCGCCGCGAACACCTCGAACGCCCGCCCGAGCCTCGGCAGCGCCTCCCGCTGCATCTTGACGTTCGTCGACGGCCCGCACACGAAGTCGACCCAGTACAGCTCCCTGTCGTTCATCTCAAGGTACCCGTCGTGCTTCTCCCGGTGCGCCACCAGCTCGTCCTCCAGGTTCCAGGACGGGCGCCCCTCGAGCCCGAGCTCCATGTTCTTGATGACGCCCTCGAGCATCTGCCGCGGGTTCCGGGCCCACGCCCGTCTCAGCCTGTCGCGGAGGGTGGCCAGCAGCGCGTGCCGCGCCACCAGCCGCTGCTCGCTCTCCCGGAGGAGGTGGAAGGGCGTGACGGGGCCGAGGAAGTTGTGCGGCAGGAGCACCGTGTCGTTCTCCTCGGCGAGCCTCCGGTGCGACGCCACGACCTTCTCCCTCAGGCCGGCCGCGCGCGCGGCGTGGTTCTCGCGCAGCTTCGCATGCCAGTACACCAAGCCCAGAGGGTCGAGCTTGGCGTCCTCGGGGGGCGCCTTGACAGCGAGCGGCTTGTAGACGATGTTGACGCTGGCCTCCGCCTCGGCGCGCTTCCTCTGCCGCCTCGTCAGGGGCAGCACGAGTTTCCGGAAGGGGCTCTGGATGGCCACGTTCTCGACGCCGTCAAAGTGCGAGAGGCACTGCTGCAGCGCCGCGCGCTTTGCGCCCCGGTACCGGGCGAAGCGCTGCTGGGCCTCGCCCTCGGGGTAGAACTTTTGCGTTGCGTGCGGCCTGCCGCGGCGGCCTCCGACCTCGCCGACCTCGCCGGCGACGTACTCGTTGTGCAAGAGGTAAAAGTTGGCCTCGCCTCGCAGCGCGCCCGAAGTCGCCTCGGGCCCGCCGTCCATGCACTTGGCGAACCACTCGTCCTCCGTGAGCGCCATGTTGAAGTCCGGCTGGTACTGGAACACCGCCCCGCGCTGGCCCGAGCCCGGCCTCGGGCCGTTCGGGTCGGCGGCCCAGACGAGGTTGCCGTCCTGGCGGAACCACGTCATGAACATGGTCCGCAGCAGCGGCCCGGGGATCTGGTAGTCCACGTCCTGAACGGACTCGGGCACCCGGTGGAGGAGGTAGCGGGGACGCACCGGGTCCTCGGGCCTCTTGGCCGCGATGATGGCGCGCCCGTCCGGTAGGGGCGGTAGGCGTGTGCTGATGCCCAAGTACTTTGGGAAATCGACGACGAGCTTCCTCTCGCCGTAGTGGTACTTCTCGAAGACCCAGTGCGTGTGCAGCATGTTGATGCACTCTTGCAGGTCGACCCACCAGTCCCTGCCTCTGGCGCCCTTTAAGCCAAGGCAGTGCTGCAGGAACTCGCCAATCTCGGCGAACTTGCGCTTCCAGTCGAGGGTGCGGTCAATGTCCTCATCCGCGAGGAAGTTTTTGATGCGGATGAGCTGGACCTTGGGCGAGTGGATGCGCCAACCCTGGTAGTCCATCATGTGCAAGTCCTCGTCGGTGGTCGCGCGGTCGCGCTTCAACCAGTTGATGATCCAGCCGTCGCCGTAGGTTTCCTCGATGACCTTGTCTTCGTCGTCGGCCTCGGCATCCGCGTCTTCGGGGCCGACGTCGACCATATCGACGTCTTCTTCCTCGGATGCCCCACCGGGGAGGTCGGGGGTCAACGGAGAGAGCGGTATTTGTTCTCGAGGGGGCGTGTAGATGCGGCCGTCAATGGGCGGAGGGGCAAGGGTTGATGTGGGCAAGTTGGTTTCTTGCTGAGTTTGGCTAAGAGGTATCGTGTGCTCGCTGGGCAAGGTAAGGGCGATTGGAGGCCCAGTCGACACAGCCGTCGTCTTCTCATGCTGAGATCTCTCCCGCGTGTCGACGCTGGACGGGGGTTGTTGAGCTTGTGGAGGCGAAGACCCGGTGAGGTGTATAACCCCACTGGGAGTCCCTGTTTCTTCAGTGTTTTCATGATTTCCTGCAGAGGTCGTCATACCTCCTGGCATTCGAGCCTTGGCCGCAGTGTCAGCCCGCCTTCTCGTGTGCTCAAATAGGAGATCAACTCACCGGTATCCTGATATTCCTGGGAATCGGTATCCTGGAACTCCCATCACTACGTACTCTTGTACCTGTAGCCCTGACGGGCTTGAGCCGAGTCGCAGTGGCAAGTCCAGCCAATGCTGTCGGAACCGTCGACAGACCTGCGTGCTCACATCCATCGTCTTCTGGCCCAGGAGCCTCGTCACCGGGGTCCTCGCCATCATCGTCATCGTCATCGTCGCCGTCGATCATTTGATTAATTCTTGGTGGCTTGTACTTCGTGGACCGACGGATGTACTGGTTGCTGTTGTAATAGGGGTCGAACGTTGCCGGGAACTTCCAGCCGTCCGGTGCGTCGCGAGCCCGCCACTCTGTCGTGAAAGGGTTCCTTGGCGCTTTCCCGCCCTCTGCTGGTGCCCTTGGTACAGGAGGAGGCTGTTTGTGTTCTTTGGACATCGCCGCGAGCTGCCTTGCCATGCCGATGTGCGACGACGGGCCGTATGTGCCTTCGGGTCCGTCGGGACACGCAGTAGGGTCTACTCCGCCGACATCCTCTCTCGCCTCGCCGACTCCGTACCCAGCACGATCTTCGGTGATCAGGCCAGCGCTCGCGATCTTCATTCTCGTCGCGGCCGCTTGGATCTCGGCTTGCGAGAACGGAACGCCTACGAAGCCCAAGATCCTGGCCCACCTGCTGACATCATCACCGCCCTCGACGATTTTTTCGATCATGAGATCTCTCTTGGTCTTTTCCACGGCCGCGGGCTCTTTTTCAGACTCTTTGGCTCGCGCGGCCAGGGTTGCGGTCGCACTCTCGCGGGAATCTTGCCAGCGGGCCCCTCCGAGGTCCGCATCGCGCAGCCACTCGTACCGCGTGCCGTACATATCAGCCAGCAGGCCCCGGAACTCCGCGTTCTTCCTCAATACATCATCAATTTTACGCATGGCGATGAGGTTCTCCATGTGCTGGAAGAGACGGTAGGGCTCAGGGTTTTCGAGCGCTTTCCGTGTGAGCTCCAATGTTTCCGTCGGGAATATATGATACTGCCTGCTGACCATGTCGGCTAGCTCGGCTGGAGAAGCTGTTAGACGAACCCAAGAAGATATGGGATCTCAGGCAGCTTACGCATTCTTTTTTGAGCCATGATGGCTGTTGGCTCTTGTGCTCAGTGCACTCCAACGGCAGTTTGCGATTTTGATACCAGGAGACAGAAGTTGCAATCGACAGGAAACCAACACAAACCCGTGTCAAGTCCAAGCTCCAGCATAAACGAGAGCTACAAATGAGAAACAAGCGATAGAACTAAACCCCCAGCTTCTGTAAAAGACATTGAGAAGGTTGACAAGAGAAAGGAGTGTATCCGGAACTTCAGTGAAGCAAGAGTTGAAGGAAACCATTCCACCGCCCCGACTTGCGAAACGGGTCCATTTTACGATTTTGAAAGGCCACCTCTCCCGCTCCTCCCATCCTCAAAGATCCAAAGCTCCTCTCTTGTTCTATTGAAAGGATCCTTCACAAGGGGTGCATTGAGGCAGAGGTTACCATAAAGGCCGCCAACGGCAACGGTACAAACGGCGCGGTACAAAGGGAGGAAATCAACAAACCGGCCAAAGCTCCGTGGCAATGACAATACAATTCGGAGCACAAGCTGCATTGACGGTTTCGGCCGTGCTCTCTTCAATGGTTTGCCATTTCCGGTAGATTTCTGGGTCTGTCTTTGTTGTAGGCGTTTACATTCATCAGTTGACACAACGACAGCCATTATGTCGAATTATGTGACAGAGCCTTGGCCCAAGTTGATAAGTTTCCAACGGCTGGGCTGTAACATGTCATCCGAGGGGGCACAGTGATGAGCTCGGCCGCAGCTGTCTCGTTGGAATATTGATGAGATGATTAAGTCGGCCTCAAAAGTAGAGAGCATCTTCCAGAGACTTCTGCAGATATAGAGCCTCCGAGGAAGAACTCGCTCTATGCTTTGATGTTTGTACAGCAACTTCTCGACGATATTCTCAATGTCTTACCATCAAAACTACGGAGACACCGATCCCACCATCGCTGGTCGTAGTCAAACAGGCAACTCATCCGGTGACCCTGCGCTGAGCTCGGTGCCAGAGACATCTCCATCGGCTCAGCCTTCGCAACGTCGATCCAGCTCCCCGGTCCCAGTTGAAGAAGACGACGATGGTTCAAGAAGTGATGCCAGCTCCGACCCTGTAGCTCGTCAGCTTGCAATCGAGGGGCATGAGGAACACCTCAGAGAACAGGTCCGCGTCGAACTAGATGCCCAGGACCGAGAGTCCGCCTGGCGCCGACGCCTACAGACGGAGTCTCCCAACCCGCAACCTCAGCAGACACCGTCTCAACCACCACCCCTGATCATCGGCGCGCCGCTGGGGAAGAACCTGACAGCCATAGAAGCGGCAAGTCGTCTCGTCTCCCAATGGGAAGCAATTCACGAGTCCACCCTCCAATCAACTCCCGAGGCCGCCTCTCCCATCCTCATGGAACTCACACAAGCCCGCGACCAACTCGCTGCCCTCGTAGCCCAGCAGCAACAAGCCTCCTCGCTCTCTGCATCCCCCCTCGGAGAGACACAGGACCCCGTCGTAACCCCCCTCAACTCCCTCGACGCCCACAAAGCCGCCGCCATAGCCTCCCGGATCGAGCTCCTCACAGACTCCCTCGAGGACTCCCACTTCCCGCCCGAGCGCGCAAACATCGCCGCCGCCGTGTCGCTCTACCGCGCCGCCCGCATCCCCTACTCCGCCAACTGGGCCCTCCTCTACGCCGGCCACCTCGTCGACTTCGCCCCGACCTACGCCTCCTTCACCGCCGACCGCGCCGACCGCCTCGACCGCTACGCCCGCCTCCACGGCGAGGGCTGGCTTTGGATCGAGCCGCCCCTGGCCCGCGAGCCCGGCGGGCCGACCTTCTTCTCCGCGCGGAGGGGCACCTTCCTGCCGGAGAACGACTCCTCGTACGACATGGGCCACTACAGCGTCACCATGTCCTTCCGGCGGATGAAGAACCTCGTCTACCGCGGCGCCCCCGTGGCGGACGCGTCGGGGAAGAGGAAGCTCGACCGTCTCAGCCGGGGCAGCGACGACGACGATGACAACGAAGGGATGATAAAAGCCGGAGAGAGCTGGCCGGCTTACTTCTCCGACGAAGACTCGGACGCGCCAGACAATATCTCGTCAGAGCCCGCCCCTTCCCCAGCCCTCCGTGCAAGCCGTCCCTCGCGGCACCCGCGCATGACGCGCGACCACGCCGCCCCAACGCTGCATTTCCGCATGCTCCTCGACAGCGGCGCGACGCTGCCCCTGATCTACGACCGCGACGCCCGCGCCCTCGGCATCCGCCGCGCGACCTACGCCGCCGTCTCCCGCGTCAGCGTCGAGACGGCCGCGCCGGGCGCGCTGTCGGCCTGGATGTACGAGATGCAGGTCGCCGTCGTGGACACGCGCACCTGCGCGCCGCTCGTCTCGCCGGCGTCCCCCGTCTGGCCGGCCGAGGAGCCCGCCCTCGGCGGCGTGACGCTCGTCATGACCCGCCCGGCCCCGGCGCCGGGCGCCGCCGCCACCTTCTCGTCGCCGTGCGGGGGCGCGGACGCCGTGGCGAAGACGGTCGGCGGGGATACGGTGTTCCTCGAGGACGCGAGGCGGCTGATAGACCAGGCCGAGGGCCGCGACTACGGCCGCCTTTCGGGGCTCTTGCCGTTCAAGGTTTGCTACGTGCAGGCGACGCCCGGGCTGCGCACCATCTGGATGGGCGAGGACCGCCGCGACGTCCTCGGCGCGCAGCGGATGCCGGGGCAGATGCGCTGGGCGCCCGGCACAGGGAGGGTATGCGACCCGGGCCATCCCCGGGAGCTGTGGAAGAGCGTCTGCGGAGGCGACGGCGGGAGGCCCGCGCTGTTGCGGATGGCGCACGAAGAGGGGGCGGTCGTGGACGGCGGGGAAGAAGGTGTGCGCATGGTGGACGTCGAGGAGAAGGACTGGAAGGGACGGAGTGAAGTGCTGGTTGTGGACAAGAACGGGGTGAGGAGGAAACATATCATTGAGCCCAGGAGGTTGCTCGAGCAGCAGCCACACTCGAGGCAGGTCAAGAGACACAAAACGGATTACTGAGATGGGTTGGATATAACTGGGGATATCATTCGACTTGAACGGGGCGCTCGCCGGCATGCAGGCTATTCTCTCGGAGACATGTTGACATGTTGCTTGCAAAGTCCACTGTTTTGTTGTAGGAAATTTTCTTGCACACAAGACCTCGGGGGTTTTCTGGCTTCGAAGCTGTTGACGGAGGACACTAGGCTGTAGTTCTGGTCCTGAAGTTATAGATAGTGGTCACTTTGATGCCTGTACATAACTACACCCGTGTGCAGGTAGCATATAGATGGCGGAGCACTTATCTGCACAAGTGATACATGGGACTGCCTTTGTCCATTGACTTCATTAAATATCATAGCTTAATGTTGAGCCAACCTTCAGGATATAGTTACCATCAACTATGTACGCAATCTAATGGATATGAACGCAACTAGCCAGCCTCGACACCGGCCCAGGTTGACACTTTCACATTCCGACATTGGACATCACCAATTTGATCCGTATAATCCATATTGCCGTCCTACACCATCGGCGAAGCCTCGTTGACGGTGCTGGCCCAAATCATCGCCAACCCCTGATATCCCACGCCTACATCTCGGCAGCGCTCGCTCACCTCTCGTCATCTCGCCTGCCAGTCGGGCAACGTTAGTAGACAAGGAGAGTTTGCAAGTCTCGGATCGGCGGGAAAGCCGCGAAGCAAAGCGAGGCTGGCCATGCGTCGAAGGAACCAACAGAGATAATGATAGTTGCTCTTGATTTGCAGAATACCGAACATACATCAGCAACCGCCTCCACCGCCGCTGCCGTCGCCTTGCTCGCGGCGCCCTCCCGCTCCCGGGCACCGTTACGGGGCGCCGGCGGACGGATGATCAACGATCAAAACGGCAAGAGACTTTGAAGCAGCCCGCGACTCATTGCACGGAGGAACAAGGCCGGCTTTCTTTGGTACCTACATCTATCTGCCTTAGGCCTCATCCCTCTCGGGGACTTCTCCCCTCGGCACATGCCACTGGCTCCCTCGGGACATTTCCTGGATGTAAGGCGGGCGAGCTCAGAAGGGGGGCACGGAAATGAAGACCTGATTTGACGCTGATATGTTCGCCGCCCCAACAGACCCTGGCTTAGCCTAGCCTAGCCTGGCCTGGCCTGGCCTCTTGACTTGACTCTCGACATGTGCTGACAAGTCGCCCATCACGATATGTCCGGGGCCCAGCGACAGCCGATTCGAGTCATCAACGGAAAGAAAAGGGAAAAAAGTGGCCTCAAACAAGGCCTGTTCAGCCGGAGAACGCACTGGAGAAGCCTGTCGTTGGAAATACGAAATCGCTGGTCCCCTGAGTCGCTCCCCGGTCCGGCTATCCCCAAGGCGAAGCCGATCAACGACTTGATGGGTCTCAATCCACTTTCAATCTCCCCGACCCCATGGGTCAGCCAAAAGCCCGTCCTGGGGGGTGAGGGGGCCCTCGAACCTCTCACCACCCCCGGATGATCATGAATAGGCATTAACAAAACACATTGCGCAGTCGGAGAATTATAGCGGAGTAGAACCTGTCTCCCTCACAGGCGCATGAGATTGTTGTGTATGTATGTTTTGTGGCCCGCGAGAGGCCATTGACGCGAGTGTGCCGGGTCTGAGGGACGGGAGAGGTCGGTCTCCAGCCAATGAATGCCCATTTTTCAGCTTCCCATGTGGCCATCATACATTATTTTCTAACAGGGCATGCCGCTCGCGCGCCAAATCTTGTTTTGCGTGCATGCTGACGGTGGCAAGGGGAGGGGTGATAGGGTGCGAAAAGCCGGGCGTGCGCATGGCTTGCAGATGCGAGAGTGAGATATATCATATATGCCAGTTTTACAGGCCCCCCCCCGGCCCCCGGGCGCCGTCCACTCGGCCCTGCGAAAGGCGTGTCACGCGAAAGGGAGGGGGGAGGGAGAGGGGGAAGACGCGTAAAGTGGTTTACCTTATTCGTTCGGCGTTTCTTCTTGTATGGGATGAAAGACAGAGATACAGAAACAGGGAAGGGAAGGGGGAAAGGTTCGTCCGTCCGCCATGTTTAGCGTTCGGTCGGTGTGTCGCAGCTCGGTCGAGGAATGGTTGAGGGCATGGGATCGGGCTGTTCGAGCTAGTTCCAATCTCCATCCGAGATCTCGAGGGGAGACCCCTGGGAATATTGAACAGCTGGCAGACATGGCAATCAAACCGAGTACTTGTCAGCCATAGAAGCATGTGCTTGTGTGCGTATATGCATGCATGTTTCTCGGTTGTCGATGGCAATGCTGTGCTGTTTGGATTCAGACAGTGAGACGAGGGCTAAGGGGAACACGTCCACAGCGCGAACCGTAAGGGCTGCCGATCAACATTGCCAAATGGAAACAAACAATCGACAGATGTTTTGATAACCGGTGTCTCAATCGAGAGAGGCCGCTCACGGATATCACCCTACTGCACCTGTGGAAACACCAAGCGACTGATACTGAGATAACCATGCTTCGGCAATACAAGGCCCCTCCAAGCCATGTCCCATCACCTTTTCCTTGTGTCTGTGCGGTATGGCAGTATAATGTCTTGGATCCAGGCGCTGCAACACCGCTTGTCCGAACGAACGAGTGGTGAATGGCCCTGCCACAGACGGAGGACGAACCCAGGCCGTGTTTGTGTTTCGAAACTCGATCAGCCTCCCCCTACAACAACATACGTTGTTGTTCTTGTTAGACGCGACGAAGGCACGCTACCGTTGGCTGGCGTTGCAAACCGCTTCTCCTGGGCTGAAATCCTGCACCAGTTCGAGACATTCAGCTCGCTGCGTGCTATCCACCTGGCAATCCCTCAGTGTGCGCCTCGAATTGCATGAGGGCCCTGCCGATTGCTTCGTTGCAGCCGCCGAGGCAAATTCGCCCAGGCGAATGCCCCCCCTGGTACGAGCTATACACGATGTTACCTCTGGCACCTAGTATAGGCCCGGGGTATGACGCCCTCCCAAAGAGCCCGGAATAGGCAGGCCGGTCGGCGCACCCGGTGTCCCATATGTGGGGACATCGGCCCAGGGGGGATGCAACTTGTCCTGCAGGATTCGAGGGTCGGAGAAAAGCAGTCAGGGGGTAAATGCAAGTCGCCATTGAGGAAAGATATCTCCAGATTAGGCTGGCGGGGGGGAGGGGAGAAGACGGACATGTGCGTCGCCGGACGCGAGGTTACCTGCTCAGAGGATGGGTTCACGTAGAGCAAAGCAGCATGCCGAGAGCGAAGCCGGAAAGCCGGTTGTTGCTGCGGGCAGCTGTGATTTGAGTGGTGCTCAGACCGGTTCGTGATAACTTCTGTGGAGAGCGTAGGGACCGGGTGGGGAGCCGGATTGGCAAGTCGACGGGGGCGGACGATGTCTTTTTGATTGAACCTTGGCCCGCAGCGAATGGCATGACGCCGACCAACAGGCTTCCTTGGAACCCGAGACGTTGTATCTGTATGCACCCAAGACCAAGGCTATGCCGGAGGAAAGTGTTTCTGCCATATTGGGCGTGCTCAGGACTCTCTGTGTCGTTCCACCAAGAGTCCACTGCTTGACCGGCTGGTCCTCTCCGAGACGGCGCGATATGATATGTGCGTGCCTGTTTGCCGCCCGGGCTGGAATGGGGGACGTGTCCTCGGGTTCTTTGATTTGAGGCGTGCGTATCTGCAGCTGGAACACTAGTAAATGCAACAGACCATACGTCACGAGTTGATGACAGCGAACCAGGTTTCTACAGCGGTTGTCCGTCCGTCGTTAAGTGAGGAGGTGGTTGGAGGCTTTCTTTCCTGATGCCAGGATCCAGCCTGGGGCAACGTGGTATGGGGCAACAGAACAGAAAACTCATTTACCGTTTCCGTGGTGAGAAGCGAGCGAATATGGACCGACCGACCATTTGGATGCCGATGGCTGCTTGGAGCGGCACGCTATCGACGCCTTAGCCGGCATGGGGCAACAGCGTCGGTTCAGAACTCACGGAGTACAGTTCGGGCGGTTGAAAGTCCGATAGGCACTTCGCCTGTGCGTAGCTGTCTCTGACGAAACTCTCCACCACACGCTGATCCCCGAGGTGAACTACGTATTTGTAAAGGCAGTGGTGAAACAAAATTTCCATAATACGGCGGCAAGCCGTGTGAGCAGCGCAGGTGTTGTGGCACAAAGCTCCTCCATAGAGTCTGCTGCACCTAGGCAACAGGCTGGGAGCTTCCATGCAGCCTCGCGTCATGACATGAACTCTCCCAGGCTGAACAGGGAGCAGCTTGCTAAAGGCAATGGTCCATCGGCAAGTCTTTGCTTTTTTGACAGCTTCATGACATGTGGCGGCATTACCCTGTCTGAACCGGAGAAACCCTGCAGCTCGATTGTTTCTGAAGTTCGTTTAGTAAAAGAGGCTTCATTTCCTTTCGTAATCCATCACAGAGTGCATGTTGCAAGGGCGACTGATCATTCCTCAGGCGACGGGATATTGCGATTGAACATAACCGCGTCAAATGGGGCTTAGTGACGGGTGAGGCGGGCGAGCTGCGATTTAGGCCTCTGGCCTCGTTGGCCAGCGAGCTCTGTGCCTGAATCAAAAGCGACGATCACTACCGCGGCCACGCGACTCAGCTGCTAGATCTGTCATATCAGGCACCAAGGCCTGAGATGACGAAAAGGCAGAGAGAGCTGTGCTTGACACGGAGCCCGGGGGGTTCGTTTTTGTGAGTACCTTGCAGCGTGGCTTGGCCCGACTAGCTACTTAGAGCAGTGTGCTTTCCAAAAGGGCGCGCAACTCCTGTCAATGCCGTGTGGCCCGTTCCAACGTTTGAGGCCCTCATCGTAGCAATCAACTTGACGAAGGCTTGCCGGGTTGTTCGCTCTCTCTGCTGCGGCAAACAAGTGTCCAGTTGGCGACTTGACTTCATGGGCCGATGGAGGGCGAAACTTCCCCCTCGTAAGACGGCAGTGGGGGGAGAGAGGCGATGCTACTTCGTACATAGTAGAGTTTGCGGCGATGTTTCCTGGACACGCGCAGGAGGTCTGAAACACTGGTAAACTCGACGATTTCGACAATAGTCGCAGCGGCGAGGGCGGCAAATGCTACGTTTGGGTCAGGCTGGCAGACTGCATTGGGCTTTGCTCTGTCTCCTCACCACCACACGGGCTCGCGCGGGCGGCGGTGGTGGTATTGAGCGACCACGCGGGGAGGTTCTGGCCCTGGTTTTGCTTCTATTCCTGTTGCTCAAGGCGGTGCACGCACATAGACTAGCAAGGCAGGACAGAGCGTAGTTTCCAGTCCTGCTCAAGTTAGGTTAGTGATGGTTGCAGTGGATGGGATGGCAGGCGATCAATGTGCAGCTAATCCACTGGGCCTTCAGCCAAGGGACAAGGGATTTATAGTGTAGAAAGTATTGATTGCTCTGATTCAGGGAAGTTGGGCGGGCGGCTTGACGACGGACCCCGCAGGCGGCGCGGCATGGGGGATGCTTGTGATAAAATGAGTGAGGAGCATGCCGAACTTGTCCGGAAGACGGCGACAAGACGAATGCCAATATCTCGGTTGCCCGACGCTGACGAGGGCGTCGATTGCAATGTGGTAGTCCAGATGTAACAGTGATGTCTGTCGGGTGTCGTTTGACGGTCCGTCTGTGGAATCGTGATTTCGACCCCTAATGCGATTTCGACCCCTAATGCGGATACCGCCAAACTCGTCCACCAAGCAAGCGGTGCTCGTGTGAACCAGGCCGTGAGAGCATTAATAGCGGTAATAACGAGCATTACCGAGGATGAGAGGTCCGAGCTGAAGCTCTAGAAGCATCGTTTGCCGGCGGCGTTCTTCCCTTTTTTCTTTTCTTTTCTGCAGGCCCCCCCAGCATTGGCCGGATGACCATGCCCCCGGCAGAAACGAAATGGGCGGGATATTGTGAAAGACAGTGCAGCAGCAAGGGGAAGATTGAGGCGGGGAAAATCTCTTCGCGACGAAGCACTCCGATTTGTTCTGAGGTGCCAATGGAGTCGCAAGTGGTTGAGGTTTGACACACAACAGGAACCGGTCCTTGGCCTAGGAGGCGGAAATATCATCGTCAGAGCTCCAGCGGGAGGAGGCGCTACCGGGACAGGGCCTGCGGCATGCCAAAGGGGCAAAAGGGGGGGGTGAGAGAGACGCCGGACGTTTGGTGTCAACGTGTGTCGGAGGTCATGGGACGAACCCAAAGCTGCGATGGCAGCTGCAGCTACAGCAAGCAACAGAAGCCGGTCAGCCTCTATCTCTCTGTCGGTCTGTGGATAGGGGAACAGGGAGAACGTCCGTGGGCGGGAAACGAACCGGTTTGGGACATACGAGTGCAAGGAGGTTGCTTGCGTCGGTGACGGTTTCCCAGACAGTGAGTGGGTTTAGGCCTTTCGTTCTCATTGATTCCGGTTTGACTGATGGCGACGGACCGTCAAGAGACAGGCAGACAGACAGCAGGTACTGCGTGCCAGAAGTGTCTTATTCGCACAAGACACTGTTCCCAATGCAAAGGATAAGGTTTGCATTACTAAGACACAGCATCCAGGGTTCGAGCATGGGCGAGGAACACAGCGTGCACAAGATCTGGCGCTAGTCCCGGAACGGATTAGAGGCAACGCCGATTGGGCGGAACCGGGGGGACGGCAATCGGAATTTTCGACGTTCCTTTAGCGCCTCAACCCTCGTGTCGCTTTTTGTGCAGGGTGGATCTGCACCAGGGCGTCTGTGGCTGGTGTGGTGGGTCGTAAACGGTCAAGTGGGGCTATCGTCACGTTTGGCAGGTGCAGTCAAGTGTCAGCCTCATCCTACCTGCCTATTCATAGGTACGGAAGGTACGAATTACCTGCATACCTACAACTAACTGTATAGGAAGGTAGGTGCCGTACCAACTACGGTACGTAGATGGGTGCGATATCCATGTGCGAATTCGTGCTTGTACGGAATATTCATTTCCTTCGCATCTCTCTTATCCCCTGGGAAAACAGCGAAAACCTTCTACACGAACTCCAGGACAATCTGCAAAATCCCCCCCTTATCGAATCCTGTCGAGCATCGGATGTCCACTGTGTTGGCCCCTCCCCCGTCACCGCTCTCGTTTCTGGGTAGACGACAACCGAACAAAGAGACAGACTATCGAATGCAGCAACCTTGTCAAGTCAACGGTTGAGGGCAGATGGGCCCAGACGGGGTGGGCTTGTCGTGCTCAGCACCGCTCGAGATACTCGGATATCCCATCGTGCCATCCGCTGGGCGGGTCATGGATGGCAAATGATCAACGCCCACGGTCCTTTACCTTCTCGGAAATGCCGCTCAGCGTCTCAGGATGGACACGCATCTGAACATGGCCGCCGCCGGGTGTTCGCTTTTGATTTCCCCGGGGCAGATTTTGCATGCTCAACTGAGACTCGACGATTGACCGCCCGACGCCGCCTTATCAGCAATTGGCCACGAGCGGTCCGGGCAGTGTAGCCGGCTCGTCGTGGTGTCTCTAATCATCCATGACAGTCGCAGCCTGCTACCCCATACGAATCCGGGACCGACACTCTGATGCGTCGATACAACCGAAGCGGTTGGCCAAGCGGCTTAAATCCGACGACTACCTCGAAACGTCACAGAGTTGCAATGTGACCCAACCAGCATGTCGGCATGGAACATGAACATCGGCAAGCGTAACCTCAAAGCATCCTAGTCAGACACCTCCAAGGAAGCGACGTCTCCATCATTCTGCCAGACCCAGCGGGTGTTCAGGGCAACCTCACACAGTGCAGTGCAGTGCCTCCACGGCAACCACATTGGAATCGAAAAGTCGGTCTCACGGGCAGACCGCTTCGTTTTGACCCGCAAAAAAATAAAAATAAAAAAAATTTCTAAAAAATCTAAAAAACAAAAAACTTCTTGCGGTTTTTGCACCTCGTTTTCATCGCCCAAGTGGACAGCTCTTGTGGTGTTGCGGTGAAACCAGGGTCCAGGAGGTTGGGGGAGGGGCGGTCAAAACACCGCAGCATGCAACAGGGCAGGAGGATTTCCGAGTCTCGGCATCAGTAATGGTACCAGTGCTGGGGCGGGGCGGTGGTTCCAAACTTTTCATGTCGTCCCGTTGCCGTCGAGACAGTTGAATTTTCTTTTTCTTTTTTCCAATGGAGAAGAGGAGATCGAAGAAGGAAAATTTACGTGATATCGGAGCTTCACTGTTGCACTTAAGCCGCAGCTGCCGCGGGCCCCGTCGGTCCATCGGCAAATCACGTTGAAGCAGATGGCGAGCAGAGGAGCTCGAGAGGCGTCACGGTGCGGGACTCGGCATAAAGATCGCGGGGCGGACAAGGGTCGTGACCGGCGGACGGCGGGCTGTGTCTCTATCCATTTTTGCCTTGCGTCGTGCCGACGTACCAGACGGCTTGATTTCCCTTCTAGCAGCTCCGAACCTCCGGGGTTCACGATGCGGCTACCCGCTCGCGTGAGGTCATTCCGCGAGTCATCTCGCCTTCATACACGGCGCAATTGGCAAGTGGCTCTTGACGCCGGCCGACCTCCTCTCTGCTACATGCTTTCACTAAGCGCAGGCCGGGGACTGCCTGCTGGCGTCTAGACCATCGCCGAAGCTTGCTGAACCTGCTACGTAGGACGAACGGTACCCGTTAGGAGGGGCAGTGGCGGGGTTGAGAGAAGGGAAAAACGGAGTCCTGTTCAGATTCTTTCCATGGTCGCCCACGAGGTGCAGCCGAGAGGCCGAGAGCAACCAGCGGTGATGGATGTGCGAGTCAAGATGGCCTAGGACGGTCTGCACGACAAAAATTCTGAATGCATTGTTTGCCCGAAGTTCAGACGGCCCTTCGTGGCGATCACATTCCAGCAAGTCGGGGAGAAGAAGCGACTGATGGCTTGGTAGCAAAGAGCCACTCCACTCTCGACTCGCGGTAGAATTTAAGGGCATGCATGCTTTAGCTCAGACTCGGCACGCCGCGGCAAGACAGGATACGCTTCACATAGATGGGCGAGCCTCGAAACCACCGATACGCACTGCAACAGACCGTGAAGACTGTCTCTCTGGGGGGAAGGAACTCAGGGTCCAGGCCCCGGTTTGAAGCTTTCGAAAACTTACAGTTCGTGATAGGTACCGGCAGATGGGGGGGATCCGCTGCGGGGGAGACTCGACTGTACAAGAAACCCTCTCTTCCGGGACGACCGTCGCCGGTAGACGCGTCTAGATCCCAAGGGACGCGCGATCCACAGCCGCACGAAATGACGGCCGTGGGCGTGGAGCTCGGAAGGGTATTTGAGAGGGGAGGGGGGGTGTACACGATAGACAAAAAGGACGGTGCATGCAACCACTTTGGCTCGTGCATGCGTCGAAAAAGCTCGCATGCAGGAGCCCCAGTGACGTGAAGAAAAAAAAAGTTTTTTTTCTTTTTTTCCAAAGAAGGAAAAACAAAGCCACTCGGCATGAGGGGGATGGTTACAAGATGCGAGGTTTACGCGTGAGCACGGAGACGCGGACACGGGATAGGTTCTGGGGAGCCAATCCGACTCAGGCCCCAAAGATGGATGTTGGAAGGTCTTGTCGATCGGTCTCAATGACACGCCGGGCGGGATTGCGTGCCTTATGATAGCCGGACTAGCCAGCTGGCCCCGAAGCCACAACCAGGCCGAAAACGTACAGGAGACGGATGCTTAGCTCCATGATCCTCCAGGGCTTTTGAAGATGAGCAGCAGCAGCAGCGTCAGCATGACAGGTAACTTAGTGTCGTCACGTTGTATTGAGAAGAAGGGGGTCGGGGTGGGTTCCGCGGACCCGGTGCTCCGGGCAAAAGCGTGCCCTCCACCTGTCAAGATCGCCGTCTGCCGTCGCCCGTCGCGTGGGGGTGGTTCGAGGGGCGCGTATTGTGGCGCGTCTGCGTCTCGGGGCAGGACTTCATCTCATGATTTACGCTTCCAACTCGGCGTCCGACTGGGGTGGAGGTTGGCTGTTGGCGTTGCGTCGAGGGTAACGACAGGGCCAGTCCATACGCACGAACGGAGCACGGCACGACACGACACGACACGACACAAAACCCAGCACGCCTGGCTCCCCTTGGCCTTGTTTTAACCGCGTGGCGATGAGCCAATGTGCCCATCATGGCCGGTCAGCATGAATCATCGACGGTCCGGCCAAGGGAACCCTCTCTCTCCCCTTCCCCCCCAGGCTGGCTGAATGACGCGAGAGGTAGGGGGGGGGGGGGGGGGGGGGGGGGGGATGTGTCTGAGTTTGTTTGAATTGGTGGAGTGGGAACGGCTATACTTGCTCGGACCAACACGACACGACCAGAGTTCGCGATTGAAACGAGCAAGTGGGATTCTCGCGGAATTCGGTCATCAGAACCTCGGCCCAATCGAATTGCATTCGGCCATCAGCTGCGCGGCCCGCCCCCTCCCGGGTGTTGCGTGCGTGGCACCAGAACAGCGGACAGACAGGATTGACTGGCGCGCGTGGCTGGCGCGTGCGATCCGGTTCGGGAAGATAATTGCGTGTTTCTCCCTTCTGCCCATCTCCATTTCCCGGATTCTGGCGCGCCCGGCCCTTTGGAGATGGTGTAGGGAGGTTGACGCTGGTTCGCGACGTTCCTGAGCTGGAGACCAGCGTCTCCCACCCGGATCCCTCTAGGTCAGGGAATTGGGCAGAGGAAGAGAGTGTGTGGTAGTATTACCTACATTACTTGGTGCTGGTCGCCGGCCGGGTGAGGGGTAAGACGTGGGACATGCTCCTTGCCGGGACAAGGGCCCCTGTCACCCATCGCCTCGGGGGATTTGGCGTCTGCGCGCTTCTACTCGTCCAGCCTCCCTGCACGAACCGACAGGGCCAAGGCTTAGTAAGGGTGACCGAGTCGACCTGCAGCTGCTCACCATCAGCCAGCCAGCAAGCCATCCAACCAGCCAATGTAACCGAGCAGTTGGCTACCAACGCCAACTCGCTTGCTGCGTTGGCAGGAGGCGGGGAAGGGGAGGGCCCAAGGTTTCAACGGCGCCGTGTGTGTGGCTGCTCAATTGGCGACGAAGGCACGACAAAGACAGGCCGCTGGAGGGCCGACACGCAGACAACCGTTGATGGGTGGCGGGCGGCCGCGGGAACACGGTCGAACGACAGCACTCCCGAGACGGGGGGATTGATGACGGCCGATCTACAGAGTACATTAGGGATGTAGGGGTGGAAAGGCCTCGAATGCGGTCGCGGAGATGGTGGCATCAAACAGAGCTGAAAAGGAACGGATTGGACACACGACTCTCGCCGAAGAGAGACTGAGGCTTTCCCACAACCCCGTCCCCGCATCAAATGTCTCGAACAGGCCCGGCGCGCTTGATGCAACTGCAGGACGATCACGTCGAGACTCGGCGATAATTAAACTACAGAGACGTGTTGGAGACGCATCGCGCGTTGAGGGGTAATCAGGACCGCGTAAAGTGGCATGTTTCACTAGGGGTAGTCCCCACCCAGCTAAGGGTGAGAGAAGGAGAGAGGAGGATGACAGGGAAGGGCATCGTCATCGACTTTCTTTCTTCAAAGGCTAGTTTTAGGGTGCTTCAGGTCTTGGTTGTAGCGGGGGAAAAGGGGGACGAGGGGGGAAGCACGGAAGAGGAAAAACAAAAAACAAAAAACAAAAAAGAAAGAAAGAAAGAAAGAAAGAAAAGAAAAGCAATGGCCATGGCACTGACCTTTGTCCGTCTGACGTTACAGGTGGGCGATGGGCCTTGTTTACAACGGACAAATGGGTGAGGGAAGTGGGAGAACAAAGCGGGAAGAGGAAGCGAAACTGCTCTAGAAAGCACGTCTGAAGCCAATTCCCTTCCTCCCCACTTTCCCGCTTTGAAGGGGTTCTATTATCTGCTTATTTACGTCCTTGTCAAGTCGAGGGTTTACCGTAGCCCGGAGGCGGCGGCGACGACGGCGGCGGGAGAGGCGGGGCCAAGGATGAAAGGAACGGACGCAGTCATCGTCACTCGCACGCTAACTAGCAGTAAGCAGCGGCGCGCGCGCGCGTGTGTCCTACGGCTGGGACGGCAGGGAACAAAGCAGCGTGTCCTGAGTCGCGACGAGTCCTTGGCGTTCCTTTTTCCTCCACCAGCCTTGGGCTACTTACCTACTAGGCGGCGGGGCGCGCGCGCGCCGGTGGGACGAAAGGGCTGAAGCGCGAGTCACGGGGGAGGGGGGGCGAGCAGAGAGGCGTTTTTGACATATCAGAGGGCGATCGATAGACGTCATTCCGAAGGTCCTGCGTGCCTCTCGGACCCGACAGCTTTCCATTACAGACTAACAGTGTCGTTTAGGCGTTCCGACGATGCTGGGAGGAGAGGAGGAAGGAAGGAAAGTGGATGTGATGTCGAAATTGGGTGCACGTCCATTGAGCAGGGAGGAGGGGACGGATCATTTCTAATTGCGTACGATATCGGATACTGGCACAACGTGTCTCGTGCGTGTGTCCCCCCGTTCCCCCTTCACTGGACGCGGAGTATACAAACCCGGCACCGCGGGGGGGGGGGTTAATCAATCATCAATCTTACGGCTCGGATTCTCCCCCCTTGACGATAGGCATACGGGCGGATGGGGGACAGAGGCCTGATAAGCGCGTTGGTTTGGGGGGGAAGAAAAAAAAAAGGGGGGGGGGGGAGGAGGAGGCTTGGAATGCTTCAAAGGGCGTCGCATAACCTGGAATGGTAGGACAATAGACGTATTGGGATGTGCATAGACGCCGGGGAAGCGCGCGGGTGGGTTCGATTTAGACGCCAGACGCCGGGGCCGGACGGAGGGTTGCGTCTATGGCTGTGTGTCCCTCTCCACCGTCAGGAAGCAGGGGCACGTGCACGCTCTCTCTCTCGCTCTCTCGTGTGCGTGTGGCAAGGAAATAGTATCGAGATCTCTACCTCTCTGTGGCGGTATGAGTCGCGTATGATAGCGATGAGAACTACGTGTCGAACCCCCTCCCTCCCCCCCCCCCCCCCAAAAAAAAACCCCTCCAAAACCCCGAAAAAAAAAACTGTGGGGGATGACGACGGAGCAGAGCTCCGAGAGTGGGCGATTCTTACGTACGGATGCGGTTGAGGCTTTTCATCCCGCGCACTAGGATGAGTCTGAGTCTCAATATTGATCATCTGCAACAGGACGGACAAACACGATAGATACCCAGAGGGCTGTTTCCCCCCGGCCCGCGGGTGTCCAAGCCGGCGTCCCGGGCGAGACAGGTGGGCCATCGGGATAGGGGGGGAGCTGTTAAAACCTCGAGGAAACATTTTACTCGTTTCCCCCCGTGCGGGAGGTATTTTTTTAAAATAGAAAAAATTCCCTTCTCCATCCCTTTGAGAAGGGTTTCTCTGCAGACGCAGGATGTCTCTCTCTCTCTCTCTTTTTTTTTTTTTTTTTTTTTTTTTTTTGAGTCGCGAAGCGGTGACGAGCGCCACATCCTCTCCCGCCTCCACCCGTCATCCCGCGAACGCGGGTATCGAGGCAAGGGAGGAAGAGAAGAAGCGGTGGCATCGGGATAAGCAAGCACCGGCCGCGTGGAGCTGCGCCGTCTCAGTCCCCCAATGAAACCACCCGCCGGCCCCCCCACTCTCCGGGGGCGTAGGGGTCCACCGGGGGCCGATTTCGAGCCCTGCGGGTAGGTAGGCATGTCTCGCGCGGGGGATGAGGGACGGGCTGGAGGAATGCATCGTAGCCCTGGGAGACGGTAACTATTGAATCATTCGTGTCTCTCTCTCTCGCGGGGGACAATCTTGGCCAGGTGCGAGAAAAGTATCCGTATACCCGCGACGGCATGTGGTGGTCACGTAGTATTTTTGTCCCGAAGGCACCCCCCCAACGCAGGGGGAAACGCAGGTATCAACGGGCAGTGTTTTACCAAAAAGGGGGGACGATACATGGTCGAGTCAGTGGGTTGCGATGGCTTGGCTATTTGGCGATTTTTCATGTTCCAATCCTGCTGGGCTGCGCACTCGAGAACGACGATCCCGCAGGCCGAGCGTATCCCCTCGATGCCATGGGGGGGAAGGAGGTGCACTAGATAAAGGGACAATGAGATCGTGGCGTCGCTGCGTGGTTTCGCAACGAGGATCAAAAGACAGAACAGAATTGGAGAAGGGGAAAAAAAAAAAAAAAAAAAAAAAAGCCCCGGCGACGATCGCGATCGGGCTGGGATGTGCGGGACGGACGGGCTCCGTCCGGCCTTCCATAGCTCGGAAAACGGTGTGTGATTGGCGTCGCTTGTGCGTGCCATTTTGGACTCTCAAAGTCCGTCCCCCCTTGAGCCGTCTCTTCCTAGGCCAGGTAGATGTGTATCCTCCTGTTCTGTTCCCGAGCTGTAGGATACGCCGTTGGCCTGCCGGCGGGTACGGCGACTCTTTTCTTATGTGTGTGTGAGTGTGTGAGTGAGTGGGAACCTACCCTTATTTCTTCTTCTTTCCTAAATTAGCCTAGAGTATCATTTCCCCTTCTCCCTGTGGTCGCTTAGAGTCAATGTGATGTGGCCATGACCCCAGCGCGGGGAGAGGAGCAAGCAAGGCAGAGAGAGAGAGAGAGAGAGAGTGAGCGTTTCCTGTCGGCTGGGCCCAGCCATGCGGCTACGAAGACGAAGCAAGGACGTGAATGTCTCGTCGAGGAGTGCCGTGTAGCAGAAGCGAGAGACATGTACACACGGTGGGTGACGTTGGTTGTGCGTCTGTGTG